AGTGCCCCCCCAGGGCCTGGGATTCTCTGTGCTGCCTGATGATGTGACAGGGCTCAGGAGCCAGAGGGGGTGGGGGGCCCGGAGCAGCTGGAAGGGGAATTGAGTGGGAAGGGGCCAGTGCTGGCAGTCGAGAGAGAGTTTGATGGATTACTCTGCAGGCCTAGAGGTTTCTCCCTAATCCCCCTTTGTGTCCCAGCCTGCAGTCCCCTCACTCTCTCTGACAAGCTGCTAAGCAGAAGGCTTCCAGTCTGAGGGAAGAAAAGGCAGCTCAGCAGGGCGAACTCTAAATCCCTGGCCTCTGGGCTCTGGGGGGTGGGGGGTGGGGAGGGGTGCCAGGAGCTAGGGAGCAAGCCTGGGGCAGAGTGGGGTCCACTGCCCCACTTTGGGCCCCTGTTCTTCTTTCTCATGCGTCTCTGGAGATGAGAGGCTTTCTTCTGATGGTGTGCTCAGGTGTCTGTGGAAATTGGCATGATAGCAGCCCTCAACTTTTTGTACAAACCACTTTTACAGAGTTGCTTATAAAATGGAATTGGGGGAATCTGACCCTCACTGCTGTGAGCTTATTCCAGTCTAGAAAATCAAAGCTTGCATGTTGGAAGGCAATGATGCCAGTGTAGTCTAACCTGGGTTCCCACTCCCAAGCAGCCCAGGTAGGAATTCCCAAGGCACTTACTGCCTCTCTCCCAAGGGCTCAGTGATGATGGATATCCCATTTTTTTCACGAGGATACTGGTTTCCAGGTCTCCTTGATGGCCCTTTCTGGGGAGTCCGTCCCAGGACTCATTATCCGCTGCTGTGTGGGCGGAGCTCATTTTGGGAATGGCGTGTGCCTGGTTTAATTTACTGAGGCTGAGGGCCTTGGTCCCCTGGGACTTAGTCAAGGACGTGGTAAGAGATCTTATTCGCTGCCCCTAAACTAGAGGCTCCAGGAGAGCTCATCTTGGGGCCAGGCTGCCAGGGTCCTGTCGAGTCTGGGGGACGGGGCTCCCTCTTTTCCCTCTCCTTGCTCCTTCTGACCTGTGAGTAGCTCAGCACCCGCGGTTCCTGGCCAGGGCCAGCATAGCCTCGGGTGGGGTGTGTTAGGGTGACCCCACCCCTTTCTTCAGCTGAGTCACTATTTCTCGTTTCTACCGTGTCCCGTCCCGGTTTCCTTTTCTGCGGGAGGGCACCTGCCTGCGGGCCGTGAAGGGTGGAGAAGCGTGCTTCCCGGGAGCATGTGAGCGTGTGAGAAAGCCGCGCGCTCTTTGTAACTGTGGAGGGAGGGCGCCGGGTCGCCGAGCCGCGGGATATTAGGGTGGGGGCTGCGGCCTTTTGATGTGCCTGGGTGGGGTGTGGGGACGCCGCCGCATAAAGAGCCCATAGAATTGCAGCCTGACAGTGGCCAGGGCGGGCTGCCTCCATCCGGGGCTCCCTCTGGCCTCTGTCAGTAGACGGACTCTGCACCCTCCCCCAGCCCCACCTCTACGTGCGGGGTAGTAGGAGCCCCTTTGAAAGCCCTCAAAGGCCTCTTTATCAGTCCCTCTGACCCTCCCTTCCCTTAGGGAGCGACCAGAGAGGGGGCGCCTTTCCCCCCGCCTTCTCTACTTGTTCTTTTGAAATTTGGAGAAAGTTCAGGCCAAGTTTGTTCCTGTTGCTCAGTTTTATTTCCTCCTCCTTCCCATGCTGGTGCTATAGTGAAGTGGGGGCAAAGGGGGCAATAATTGGGAAATCCGGGCTGGGAGAGGCTCTCTGATTCCCTCACCACCTGTATACTCTTAGGAATTTTAGATTCTGGGCTTGGGGCTTTTGGAAGATCCTTAGTATTTGTGTGTGTGTGTGGGGGGGGATGTTTAAACCTTTACCGTCTCTGATGCCACACCCATACCTTGGGAGTGACCACGTTTTGCAGGTGGGGAGTGTGGGTTTCCTAGTACCTGGAGCTGGGGAGATAGAATCTGGTTCACTGAACTTGCTTGCCCTCGGGCCTCCCCGGGCTTCAGGCTTCAGGATGAGGAAGGATGGCCTGGGCAGAGCACCATGAAAGTTCCCAGAGGGCTTGGGTTTCCTCCAGCTTTCGCTGCTCTGTCATCAGGGGGCCGAGGAGAGGAAGGGGAGATGTTTGGAACTTGAGAGGGACTTGTCTTCCTAGAAGACTATCTTCTTTTCTGTGAGGTTAGCCCAGTCTTGGCTTTCTGTACCTTCCCCTCTCCTCCTCTTACAGTCCCCTCCTCACCAGGTGAGCCAAGCCTGCAGCTGGCTCTTCTGATTGATCTTCTGTTTGTCAGACCGGCTGAGGGCTCCAGGAGTAGTGGGGCAGGTGACTTTGAGTTAAGCTTCTCTGAGATTAGAGAATTAGATGCTGACCCCCTTCTTAGATTCCCTGAGGAAGACAGAGGAGCTCCCCAAATAGGGGGCTCAAGAATGACTCTAACTTTCAAGCCTCACAGAGATGTATGCCTTGGGGCTCCAGCCAGGAGAGAATGCTGGAAAGGTGCTTCTCCTTCCTGTTCTCTGAGCTCTCTAAGCCTGGGCTTCTCTGATTGTGCCCCCACCACATGCTTGGGAAGAAGGCCCTGGAGGTGGTGGCTGGGTGGCTGGGTAACTGGAGCTAGTGGTGGGTATTCTTACAGTTTTCTCTACCCTGGAGCTGAAGGTGAGCTAGTGAGGCAGGGACTAGGGCACTGAAGACACAAGGATAAAGGGGACTTAGGAAGAGTGTTGCTATGGGCTTTAATTTCCTCTGGCAATTCTGGGGCTGGGAAGATGAAAGTTTGAAGAAGACAAGAGTACCTGAAACCCCAGAGCAGGGTAGTAACCAAATGGAGGAGGACGGGCTCAGCAACCTAAGAGCAGAGGGGACACCGAGCCTGCTCATTGTCCACCCAACTCCTTTCACTGAATTCTTCACCTGGCCCAGCCCCTGGTAACTGAGTGGAGGGCCTCTGGGAGTGAAAAGAGATGCTTCAGGAAGAAGGAGGCAACTCACGCCCTGTCTAGGCTGTAGGAGGACTGGGATGGAGAGGTGTCTTTTCATCCTTTCTCCCCCGTGGCCTAAGGAGGTGCTGCTCACTCCCGGGAAGATTGAGGAACTGGATTGGGGAGGCAGGAGAGGTGATTAATGGTTGCAGGAGGGATGCAGGGCCTGGGCAGGAGGGAAGCTGTGGGTGACGCCCCAGTCGGGCAAAGGCCCTGTTTATTCAGGGAGGACCTCATTCTCTGAAAGCCCAGAGCAGGTGAGTGTCCAGGACCCGACACCAACTTGGGGAGGAAAGCCTTTTGACCCAGAACCCCTCCCACAACACTGGACAGCACCACCCCTCCCTTGTTCTCTCTGTGCAATTTCCTGCTTTCCTAATAGGGGTGCTGTAGAAATGCAGTGATTGAGGAGGCGAACCCACAACAGCCTAGTTAAAGACAGCTGTCTGGTTAAAAAATGCAGTAGTTGAACCCATAGCAGCCTAGTTAAAGACAGCTGTCTGGTCCCCCACCCACAATATTTTATACTCTTCTCAGGCACTCCCCTGCAAGGAACTAGTGCCCATTCCCAGGGGGCATGGTATGGGTCTGAGTGGGACTTTGGGGAGCAGATTGCAGGTGACCCAGTCATATCTGGGGTCCTTTCCTTCCTGATCTTGTAGTCTCAAAGCTCCCGAAGGCAGTTGTGGGGTGGACAGGTTTTCTTGTTGAGGATTGGCAACCCCTTGAATTCTCCATGGCTTGGTAACATGCAAGGCCCCACTGAGCTCAATGTTAATTTGTAAAGATAGAAAAAACTGAAGTGTCAAGTGATGAGATGTTGGGAAGAAGAGGGAAGGAGCCAGGGCTGGGCATGCTTCAGAAGGTTCTCAGGGCACAGGGAGGAGAGGAGCTTGGCCTTCAAGTACAGTGGTCTTGCACAGGATTGCTCCTCAACAGCATTTTTGGACCTGAATTGGTGAGAAAGCACCGCTCCAGGAGGAGTGGTGCTCTGTCCCTATTTAAGGGTGGATGTCAGGTTAAGGACCTCTGGCCTTTTCTCACTGAATGATAGCTGGCTTGATTTTTTTCTTCCCTTTTGCAGTTAATTCTCAGTGGAGTTGATTGTAGTGGGTGCTGTTGTCAGAAATCAAAGACTGGAGGGCCCTTGTGTCGGGGGCGCAGGCTGGGGCTCACCCAGAGGGGTCAGTGCACAGAGGGGGATGTGGGGAGGGAGCCTCTGGAAAAGCAGGGACAGGCTGCCTGGGAACTGCGGGCATCCTGCCAGCTCAGGGTGGTCACTGGCGTCATTACAGGTGCTGCCAGGTGGTGCGGTTTCACGCCCCCGTGAACTGGAACCTGGGACCGAGTGGCCCCACTGTCCCATGACAATTGGGCAATTACTTGTGGGAATGTTTCTTCCCCATGAACACGAACAAGGGAAAAACTCAAGATCGAGGTTTTCAGTCCTCACTTCTTCAAGGGGAGCTGTCTTTAAGTGGTTTCTCTGACAGGCTAAAAACCCAATCCAGCAAACCACAGACCCCCCCAGTCCCCCACCTCATGACCACCTCATCCTGGGGGGTGGGGCTTATGGTGCAATGTGGCTCCTTGCCAGGCAGTGCGAAATAGGAAGTGTTACTCTTGACAAAGGGGAATTGAACGGCTTTAGGAAGTGGAGAGAGAAAAGCAAACAAGCCAGGCAGAGGGATTCCAGGCACCTTGACAGTAGGACCTGGAGAACTGGGGATTAATTCAGTTGATTTGGGGGCGGGGTGCGGAAAATTACTTACAAGTGGGCAAGAACAATTATAAAGATAGTTCAAAACAGACAAGCTGATGTGTTTGGCTCTGGAGTGTGTCGAGGTTTAAAAATCATATTTACCTTATTAATTCTGTCAGTCTTGGGTAATATTAACATGTATTTCCTGATTGGGCAGTAGGAATGGCTTGTAGGTGGTAGAGCCATGCTGACTAGCCAGAGAGGGAATGGAATTCAGAGAACTCAGAGCAAATTCTGGAAACCCGGTTCCCAGGGCTTAATGCTTGCCCTCCTACCCTTTTAGGACCTGAGTGATGCAATGTGTCCCCACCGAGGTACCCCACAGCACCGGGCCTTCAGCATGGACTGAGAAACTGGACCTGGACCAGAAGGCTGGCAGCGATGGGCTCCTGGCTGGATCCTAGACAGCTGGTATCAGCGAGGAGGAGAAGCCTTGGTGTTTGGAGCAAGGCTGGGAGGAAGCAGGGCTGGAGTGTGTGAACAGCCCTCAGACCCTCCCTGCCAGGCCCACCATGGTCCAAAGACTGTGGGTGAGCCGCCTGTTGCGGCATCGCAAAGCTCAGCTCTTGCTGGTCAACCTGCTGACCTTCGGGCTGGAGGTGTGCCTGGCTGCGGGCATCACCTATGTGCCACCCTTACTGCTGGAAGTGGGGGTAGAGGAGAAGTTCATGACCATGGTGCTGGGTGAGTCACTCCGTCCTCCTTCCTTCCTGCTCCAGACACATGCTGCCTGGAAGTCACCCGGGTCATCATTTCTCTGCTGGGCACTGCTGGGGAGGGGTGACTCTGGGATGTGGGACCTTGAGGGAAAGAAAAGATAGAGGAACACATCCTAGTCAATTCTGTGTCCCTGGTCCCATGGGGCCTGGCTTATGGGAGATGCTGGAGAAATGACTCCTACTTTCATATAAAGAGCCCTTTATAACTTGTAGCTCACGTAATCCTTACATCTTTTGAGGTAATCCATTTCACAGAGAAGAAAAACGGAGTCTTAGAGGAGTTACGTGACTTACCCATGGTTGTAGAGTTACTGAGTAGTAGAGTAGATTAGCTCTGGTAGCGTAGTGTTTGCAAGTCGGGCTGCTAACCTCAAGGTCAGCAGTTTGAAACTACCAGCTGTTCCACAAGAGAAAGATGAGGCTTTCAGCTCCCGTAAAGATTTACAGCCTCGGAAACCATATACAGGGTCGCTGTGAGTCAGAACTAACTCCACAGCGTACCAATACCCCCCCCACCAGAGTAGATCAGGGTCTCCCAGCCAGGGCTCTGTTTTACCTCCTGGGCAGAGTTCTGTAAAAGCCACAAATGGCAAGTTGCAGCCTGCAAAGGACCCCCTGGAAGAGGGGCTGACCATTGGGTGGTACAAGTCGTTAATGTGCTTGGCTAAGATTGGAGGTTCAAGTTCATCTAGAGGCGCTTCTAAAGAAAGGTCTAGCAGTCTACTTCTGAAAAATCAGCCATTGACAACTCTGTGGGGCACAGTTCTACTCATGGGACACACGTGGGTCATCCATAAGTTAGAACTAACTACACAGCAACTTGTTTTTTGTTTTGATTCAGAGCATCCCTGTGAAGTACTTATCACAGTATCCAGCACAGTTTGCCTTCAGTGAGATTTGACACTTAATCATTCCCATTCTTCTCAAGGAGGCTGCCCCCACCCCCAACGCCCCGCCCCACCCCGCCCCTCAGGGTCCCCTCCACTGACTCTCATTACTTATCCTTCCTGCAGGAATTGGTCCGGTACTGGGCCTGGTCTCAGTCCCTCTTCTAGGCTCAGCTAGTGACCATTGGCGTGGACGCTATGGCCGCCGGAGGCCCTTCATCTGGGTGCTGTCCCTGGGCGTGCTCCTGAGCCTGTTTCTCATCCCAAGGGCTGGTTGGTTGGCAGGCCTGCTGTCCCGGAATGCTAGGCCCCTGGAATTGGCGCTGCTGATCCTGGGCGTGGGGCTGCTGGATTTCTGTGGCCAGGTGTGCTTCACCCCACTAGAGGCGCTGCTCTCCGACCTCTTCCGGGACCCAGACCACTGTCGCCAGGCCTTCTCTGTCTACGCCTTTATGATCAGCCTTGGGGGTTGCCTGGGCTACCTTCTGCCTGCCATTGACTGGGATGCCAGTGCTCTGGCCCCCTACCTGGGCACCCAGGAGGAGTGTCTCTTTGGCCTGCTCACACTCATTTTCCTCACTTGTGCGGTGGCCACACTGTTTGTGGCTGAGGAGGCAGCACTGGGCCCCACTGAACCAGTCGAGGGGCTGTCAGCCCCCACCATGCCCCCCCGCTGCTGCCCGTGCCGTGCCCGACTGGCCTTCCGAAACCTAGGCACCCTCTTTCCCTGGCTGCACCAACTCTGCTGCCGTGTACCTCGCACCCTGCGCAGGCTCTTCGTGGCTGAGCTGTGCAGCTGGATGGCCTTGATGACCTTCACGCTGTTTTATACAGACTTTGTGGGCGAGGGGCTATACCAGGGGGTACCTAGGGCTGAGCCAGGCACCGAGGCCCGGAGGCACTATGATGAAGGTAAGACCACGTGGGCTGCTTTCTGGAGAATTCTGGTGGGAGGGAGATGCCCACAGGCCTGGACCAGAATTTGTGCTCCCTGGGGCGCAATTTCATCATCATTAAAATGGGATAGATTCCCTGCATGGCCCACACAGTTAAGCACTCCACAATGAATGTAGAGGTTTGCAGTTTGAACCCACCCAGAGTGTCTTAGAAGGCATGGCCTTGAAATCCTTATGGAGCAGTTCTGTTCTATATATATATATATATATATATATATACACACACACACACCACACACACATACACACACACACAGCCACAGTCAGCCTGAGTCAGCTTGATGGCAGCTAGCAACACAGGCTGCTCTAAGAACGCAGCTCCTCGTGGGTACAGCGTAGCTGTGTCCAGTCTCAAAAGAGTGCCGGGTCCTCCTGAGAGTTTGAGTTGGGTCTTCACTCCAAATAGGCACGAGCTTACTCAAGTTCCCCCAAGAGTGGAGCAGTCCAGGCTCGCCCTCAGCTCTGCTTCCCCTGAGGATGCTCTGAAGTTTGTCCAGTACTTCCCCAGCGCCAGCGTTCGGGAACTGGCTGGAAGTTGAGGTTCCCAGGAGCACTTTAGGGCATCAGCCACCTTTTGTGCCCTTAGCCTGTGGCCTTGGCCACATGCTCTGTGGGTCAGTGGGCAAGCCTAGCTGACTGCCAGTGCTACAGGTTAGGTGGGGAGGGTGCTGGGAAGCAGGTCTGCACCCCTAAGGCTGAGCATTGCTACACAGGTTGTACTGGGCTCCTTCCCCACCCCACCTGCCCTGACCTCATTGTCACCTCCTTCTCTAGGGGTCCGGATGGGCAGCCTGGGACTTTTCCTGCAGTGTGCCATCTCCTTGGTCTTTTCCCTTGTCATGGACCGACTGGTACAGCGATTCGGCACCCGGGCAGTATACCTGGCCAGCGTGGCGGCTTTCCCTGTGGCTGCTGGTGCCACCTGCCTTTCCCGCAGTGTGGCAGTGGTGACTGCCTCAGCTGCCCTCACCGGCTTTACCTTCTCCGCCCTGCAGATCTTGCCCTACACGCTGGCCTCCCTCTATCACCGAGAGAAGCAGGTGCTCATGGTCGCTTCAGGGTGGGGCAGGCGTTTGGGAGAGAGGTGGACTAGCCCAGAGCCCGGCATCTGGCCAGGGACTTTGGAGAAGGCATTCTTTGATCAGCGAGGAAGCCTGTCCAACCCTTAGAACCCAAGAGCTGGGCTGCGGAAGAAGGGTGTAGATTAGACTCTTGGAATGACTTCCTGCTATCAGAATTATAAAGCACTTGAAGTGGATGATTGCAGGAAATGCACATTCCTTCCCTGGGAGTCCTGGAGAATCAGAAGCCCTTAGTCTGGGTGGAGGCAGGGAGCTGAATGAGATGGCCTCTGGGGCACCTAGCTTCATTTCAGCCAGAGACAAGTAGCAGGATCTGGCATTAGCAGCTGCCTGCCTGCTTGTCCTGGGAGATGCAGAATGACTGTCATCTGCCCTGCTTTGCCCTTCAAGATGGAGAAGGCACCCTGTGGCCTCTTCTCTTTCTGGTTGATCTTCCTTTTCTGTCTAATCCTCTCTTTTCTTTACCTCTTTACTCCTTTGCCTCTGTCTCCTTACCCCACTCCCTGACCAACTAACCCACTTGACCCCGCTCACCTGGGCTCTAAATTGTAGGGCTGCCTTTCTGCTCAGCCTCAACACTCACCCACTTCCCACCCTTCTGTGGGAAGCCTCTTGGCCTAGGCAGTGTGGCCACGCTCCCCTTCTCCCTGGGCTTCCCTGAGTTGATAACCCGAGATGCTGAATTCCACCCTGAGGGGCAATCATGTCAGGAGGGCGCCCGGACTTGTGGGGGATGAGTAGGGTGGGCTGTATATGAATATGTCAGCATGGAGTAGCTGGGAGGCTGGCTAACTGAGGGCCAGCCTTTTGGTTCATCAGCCTCCACCCTCCTGCTGGATATGTCAGCATGGAGTAGCTGGGAGGCTGGCTAACTGAGGGCCAGCCTTTTGGTTCATCAGCATCCACCCTCCTGCTGTCTTGGGCTGAGGGTGTCTGGAGACCAGGTCTGGGTACATACAGTGTGTCAGGGGACCATGCTGGGCTGGCCCTGTTTTGTACTGAGGAGTAAATCTGTCACTATAGACTTCTGGGTCTTTCCTAGGACAGGAAGAGGGGCCCTGGGAGGCCCACCTAGATAACTGGTGATGGCTACCTTGGTTCTGGACTAGACCAGACCAGCTTTGTGATGAACCACAGGATCCCCAGGGTTGGGTTTGAGCTGTGCTGCAGCTTCCTGATCCCCAACTCTGGAACCTTTATAGTAACGCTATGCTGGGCCCTGGGACACAGTCAGATAAGACCTGGCCTTGTACTTAAATAGGAGGCTCTGAGTTGTTGAGAAGGAGCACTGGTGGCGCAGTGGTTAAGTGCTTCGCTGCCAACTGAAAGGTTCAGCAGTTTGAATCCACCAGCTGCTCCAAGGTGAGGGCATAAGAAGCTGCCTGGTGCTCTGGTCCCATGAAGATGACAGCCTAGGAAACCCTTTGGGGCAGTCTTACTCTGTCGTAGGGATGCTAAGAGTCAGAATCGACTTGGAATCAACCTGAAGGCAATAGAAGCTGGGCTGTTGAGGGCAGAACAGGGATAGGGTGGGAGACTTGGACAGACACTGGGCCCTGATCGAAGGTAGCCAACAAGAAGGAAGCATGATGGGCTCAAATTAGAACAGATGGGAGAGGGGGATTGGGAAGGTGATTGACCTCTATCTAATCTTCCTTCCCAGAGCCCTGATCTGAAAAAGGGAAGCAACCAAGTGCCTCTGTTCTTTGAGGCTGGACTCTCCTGGGTCCTTCCTGTTAGTCCTACAGGGCTACCTGCTGGCTGGCCTTCCAGTTTCTATTGCTGCCCAAGTGGAATGGTTCTCTGCTGCCACCTGCTGGCAGTGAGGTACATGGGTACACAAATAAAAACTGGGCCTTCTTCCTTCTTCCTTCCCAGTCTTTGGTGTTGGCTGGTGGCTCTCCAAATGAGCTTTAGTCTAGACTTTTCCAGGCAAGCCAGAACAGCAGGACTCCATGCAGTGGGTTGCAGGACTCTGCAGGGAGATTACCTGGACTTGGAGTCAAGTCGGACCCAAAGAAGGGATTTGGGGAGCTGCGAAGGATCTCACAGAGCAACAACTCCACTTAGGGCCTAGGACCAACCACATTGGGAACAGTACTTGTTTCTGTGTAGGGTGGGGAGGCTTCTCAAAGTCTAATGGAGGAGGTGTGTGTGGGGGGGAGGTGGTGCGGTCTTTGTGAGGATTCGGGCTCACCTGCCTTTGGATTTCATTCCTCCATTTCTACCCTTTCTCTTTTCCCTTGTCTTCATCCCTTCTGTGCCTTTCCCTCTACCTAAACTGCAGTCCTGACTTTCTCTGCCACCTGCCTGTTCTAGGAGCTACCAGAGGAGACCTAGGCTTTTGCCTTCACCTTTGCCCTTCAGCTTCTGCCCTAGCCCATTCCTGAGGAGGGTTCTAACTGGACCAGATGAAGCACAGTCTGCCTGGTTTTCATTTAGGCCTGTTGCCTGATTCTTCCAGCTACTGGGTTGAAAGTTAGGGTCTATTCTCATAGCTGGACAACCCCAGTCCTGGCTACACACCAGTCCTTGTTCCCCTTTCTCACCTCCCCAGGTGTTCCTGCCCAAATACCGAGGGGATGCTGGAGGTGCTAGCACTGAGGACAGCCTGACGACCAGCTTCCTGCCGGGCCCCAAGCCTGGAACTCCCTTCCCCAATGGACATGTGGGTGCAGGAGGCAGTGGTCTGCTCCCATCTGCACCCACACTCTGTGGGGCCTCAGCTTGTGATGTCTCCATGCGTGTGATGGTGGGCGAATCATCTGAGACCAGGGTCGTCCCGGGCCGGGGCATCTGCCTGGACCTTGCCATCTTAGACAGTGCCTTCCTGCTGTCCCAGGTGGCCCCGTCCCTATTGATGGGCTCCATTGTCCAACTTAGCCAGTCTGTCACTGCCTATATGGTTTCAGCCACAGGCCTGGGTCTCATTGCCATTTACTTTGCCACACAGGTAGTATTTGACAAGAATGATTTGACCAAATACTCAGTGTAGAGCACTTATGACCTCTTGGGTCCCAGTTCCCCCTCTAACGGTCTCAAATATAGCCCCTGTGGGCAACTTGGTGGCCTTCCCATTTCTGTTGCTGCCCAAGGTGGTATGGCTCTCTACTGCCACCCCGTGGTGGTAAAGTGCATAGCTGCACAAATGGGAACTGGGGCCTCCCTCTTCCCAGTCTTTGGAGCTGGTTGCTGGCTCTTCAAATGTGCTTCAGTCTAGACTTCTGTAGGGAGGTCAGAAAGGCAAAACATTTGATAAGCTCCATGCACTGGAATGCAAGATGTAGATGATAGCCCAGACTCAGGGTTAACAGCTAGTGTCCTGGTCAAGTCATACGTGGAGAAGGAATTTGGGGAGCAGAGTTAACTCAGCCAAGGCCTCTTGCCCTCCCTATACCAAACCCAAATCAAACCTACTGCCATTGAGTTGATTGCTCATGACTCACCATGACCCTGTGTAGGGGTTTCTGAGACTAAATCTTTATGGGAGCAGACAGCCTCATTTTTATCCTGTGGGGTATAAATCCCCTCAGAATTGCTTTTGCATGGGGATTTTTCTGAAACTTTCCACTACAGGATTTGAGAATTATTTTAGAAGAGTTCTGAGGGGAGAGGGAATGCTCCCTTACTCTATCCCACCCCTCATCCCCCACGCTGCCCCAGAACCACCTTTCTGCTGGCTCCCCCACACTGCATATGGTTTGGACACGGTTGGTTTGTCACTGTGTTGCCATTGCAGGGTACAGGCCTTTAAATAGTATGTAACTTATTTATTTAATAACGTGGAAAGGGATCAATTCCCAGCTTGCCTTTGCAAGTGTCTAGGAGTTGGATAGGGTGGTCCCAATAAGTAGGTCCCCTAAGATAGCTGGCTTGGGCTGAGCCTCTTCTGGAGGTGATATGTCTGGCCCACAAAACCACTGAACTCAGGAGCTTGGAAGTGCCATTCACCTCAACTGAAATCCCAAATGCTGTTTCCCAGGGCTGGGGGATGGCAGAAGGAGGAGGGTGGGGCTTCAGGTCTCAGTGGCCTTCCTAATTCCCCTTTGCTCCTGGCCCAGCTCTATACTGCCATCTGCCCCTTCTAGGCCTGGACCCATGCAGAAGCCACCCAGCCACCTTCCCTCCTGGCTTCCTAGCCTCTTCCTAGGGACCAGAAGCACAGAGTATGCCTCCACTGGCCTTTGTCCATCTCAGCCCCCAGGGCACATCTGTGATTGGGGGTTCCCAGTACAGAAACTCAGGAGCATGCCCTCCCCTCCCCCCCTGGCTAAGGAGATCTTATCTCTGGGGCTTAAGTGCCGTTTGCAATAATGTTATGTCTTATTTATTTAGTGGAGTAAATATTTTATACTGTATGTGAGCAATCAGAGTATAATGTTTATGGTGATAAAATTAAAGGCTTCTTATATGTTTACATGGCATATGCTTGTTTTTTTCTGAGGGGGAAGGACCAGATCTCTTTTAAGAAAATATCCTGGCATCTGTGTTTTTTGTTTTTGTTGTTGTTATGTGCTATGGAGTCCGTTTTGACTCAGTAATTTCTGAGGTTGTATATCTTACAGGAACAGAAATCCTCATCTTTCTCCAACGGAGCAGCTGGTAGTTTTGAACTGCTGGCCCTGAGGTTAGCAGCCCAATTACTACCAGAACTCCCAGCCCAATTACTACCAGAACTCCTGTTGTTGATGGTAACCGTTACTAGCTTTCTAGCTTGCTTTGCCATTGAAGTTTTACTTCAACAGCTGATGAGTACTGCCCTGTGTTTACCAGCAGGTGGAGCCATAGACAAGCAGTCTGCTGCCGTGCAGTTCTTGGGCTGGGCTTTGCTACAACTCTGGACAGAGTTTATTCACAAGTGCTGGAGAGTGAGAGGGGGCCAGAAAAGTACCTGATGCAGGAGAATGTGGCATTACAATGTATCCAAGGAGATAGATAATGCAGCAAGATAATAGACAATATGCTTAGTAGGTATGTGGGAGGATTGCAACCCCACTGTGTCTTGGTGATGCTGTGGTTAGGCGTTGGACTGCTCACTGAAAAGTTCAAACCTGCCAGTGATCCAGGAGAAAGATGAAGCTGTTTTCCTTAGATATATATTCTCAGAAACCCTATATGAGTCAGAATATAGTTTACTGTAGAAAATCAGTAGTCCTGGTGTGGTGCTGTGGTTTAATGTGCTGGATTGCAAAGTTGGTTGAACTGCACAGTTGGCAGTTTAAGCTTACCAGCTGCTCCTTGGAAACCCTATATAAGGTTGACTTGATGGTACTTAAACAACGACGTAGAAAATGAACTCTATGATTAATGGCACAATGGATTAAGCATTGGACTACTTACTAAGATCTGTGGTTCAAACCCACCAAACTCCCCAAGGGAGAACTATGTGGCAATTATCCTCTGTAAAAATAATACCCACCCACCATCGAGTTGATTCAGACTCAGAGAAACCCTATCTAGAGTTTCTGAAGCTAAATCTTTACAGGAGCAGACAGCCATATCTCTCTCCTGTGGAACCGATGATGGGTTTGAATGTGGTTAGCAGCCCAACACTTCACCCGCAGTGCTTGCAGGGCTCCTTTTATAAAGATTACAGCCTTGGAAAACCTCTGGGGCAGTTTTATAGCGCAGGAGAAAGATGAGGTTTTCTGCTCCCATAAAGATTTACAGCCTTGGAAACCCTATCACAGGGAAGTCAGAACCGACTCCACGGCACACCAACAACACCACCATGGGAGTCCTGGTATGGCACTGTGGGTTAATGCGCTGGACTACGAAGTCGGTTTGAACTGCAAGGTTGGTGATTCAAGCTCACCAGCTGCTCCTCGGAAATCCTATGTAGGGTTGCTATGGGTCAGAACCAACTCATTGGCACTTCACAACAATAGTGTTACTATGAGTTAGAGTTGAATCACAGCAGTAGGTTTTAGTGTGTTTAAAATTTTTTTTTATTGTGTAGCAACAGGTTACTTTTTTTTAGGTTGGGTGCTAATGGGAAGATCAGTGGTTTGAACCCACTAGCTCCTCCTGGGAGAAAGCTGTGCATGGCAGTCTGCTTCTGTAAAGACTATAGCCGTGGAAATCCCATGGGGACAGTTCTATGCTGTTCTATATGGTGGCTGTGGGAAATGGATTTGATGCCTTGGTTCACACTGTTCCTTACCCTTTGTTTGCATTTTTCCACCTTATTCATACTTCTTGCCAGACTCAGGTCAAGTTCAAAGTCTTCCTGCCCTGTTATTGCCATCTCCTTGACCCCTCCGACCTAGCCTGGTATTCTTGACCCTGAAGTTCCACACTCGTTAGTGGAGTTAACACATGTGCAAAAGTGAAATTTATTTTTAATGTTCTCTATTTTGTTTTTGGAGTCCTACTGTAGTGCTGTGAGAGACAGGTCAATTTAAACCACAAGATCAGCAGTTTAAACTCACTCGTTGCTCATTGGAAACCCTATCAAGGGTCACTATGAGTCGGAACCAACTTGATAGCACTTAAAAATAGTATTTATTATTTTGGAATTCTGGTGTGACACAGTAGGATATGGGCTGGACTGCAAATTCAGTTTCAACCACAACATCAATGGTTTGAACTCACCAGTTGCTCCTTTGAAATCCTATACAGTGTCACTAAGAGTTGGATCATATTTAAATTTAAACAACATATTTAAAATTTTTATCATGAATTTCAACTATACACAAGTAGTGAGCCAGGTTAATGAACCTAGTTTCAACTATTAACATTCTATCAATTTTGTTTCATGTATTGCGCTCCCCCCCCGCATTTTTTCTGGGGGTATTTTAAAGGAAATGACACAATTGTATTTCACCCATATTTTAGTATCCATAAGAATTAATGACTTTTAAAAAGGAACTTGGTCACCATAAACATATCTACCTAAGTAAATTTCTTATTATTGGGTATTATGTAATCCATGACCGTTTGCCCCAACTACTTTTAAAATGCCTTAACAGTTGGTTTGTTAGCATCAGAATCTAGCTGAGATCAACTTAATTGCATTTAGTGGGTATGTGTCTCAGGTTTCTCAATTTCTTAACAGTTCTCTCTCATTTGATCTATTTATTTATGAAGAAACAATCATTTTTCCTACAGATTTGCCTACATTCCATTTGGGCTGACTGTATCTTCAGTGTTGTCACATATGTTCTATTGTCCCTTTGCCCCACACTCTTTGTCTTGTAAGCTGGTAGTTAGAGCTAGAGAATTGATGAAATTCAGATTTTATTTTGAGGGCAAGAATATTTCATCAGTGCAAGCTGTGTCCTTTTTCATGATTTCATGAGACACATGATGTCTCGTGCTGGTTTCAGTGATAATAGTGAGCTCTCTCCATCAGTGGACATTCCACCTAAGCCACTTACGGTCATTACTTCTGCCCTATTGCATTAGGAGTTGGAAAACTTGTCATGTTCTAATTCTATCATTCCTCTGTAGTATTCTCCCATTAAGAAAGAGAGAGAAAGCCCTGTCAATCATTTGGTTACCCTGCCTGAACTGTGGATTGCATAGGAGAAAGAAGCTGCTTGATTCGTTCCCTTCATTTATCAGTTTTCAAAACAATGAAATGATGCTTTAGCTACTTCCAAAGGTAATCATTAAGTTTCATCATGGGGTGCTGGTGCAGCACTGTAAGATAAGCACTGGACTTCTAACTAAAAGGTCGGCAGTTCAAACCTATCAGTTGCTTCTCAAACTGTGAGTAGGAACTGACTCAGTGGCACTTAACTACAATAGAGATTTTGTGTTTCAGCCTACTGCTGGCAGTATATTCTTTTTGAGAGGTATCTTAAGCCAATGGGATCAAGGTGTGTCCCATGTTCTTTTGGTGTGATTCTAACAGTCTTTGTTATTTCTTTGCTTTTAGGCATGATAAGATGACTCAAGTTCATCCTTTACATTTTCTGCCCAGACATGGATTGGCCATTTCTTCAAGGATTTTCTGGTTTGTGTTAGTAACCACTGTATGAGTACTAGAGG